CCAGGCACATCGGAACTAAGACGCTCCTCCAGAATTCCTAAACCAACCCAACGGTATTCTCCTTCTTTGCACTACTTGTTGTTGACTGATAATGGTGAACCAGAGTGCTATGATGAAGCAATGCAAGTGGAAGATTCAGTCAAGTGGGAGTCTTCCATGAAAGATGAGATGGACTCACTTATGTCAAATCAGACGTAGGAATTAGCTGAATTACCACCAGGCAAGAAAGCGCTTCACAACAAGTGGATTTACAGGATCAAAGAAGAGCACGATGAGAGAAAAACGCTACAAAGCGAGATTGGTTGTCAAAGGTTTTCAGCAAAAAAGAAGGTATTGACTACAATGAAATTTTCTCTCCAGTCGTGAAACTATCTACAATCAGACTGGTGTTGAAAATTGTAGCTGCAGAGAATTTACATCTTGAGCAGTTAGATGTAAAGACAGCTTTCCTTCATGGTGATTTGGAGGAAGAAATCTATATGAGGCAGCCAGAAGTCTTCATAGAGGCAGGCAAGAAAAACCTGGTATGCAGGTTGAAGAAGAGCTTGTATGGTTTAAAACAAGCTCCTAGACAGTGGTACAAGAAGTTCGATAGTTTCATGAGTAGCAGTGATTTTACCAGATGCTAAGCAGATCATTGTTGCTACATCAAGAGGTTCGACAATAGCTTCATTATTTTATTGTTGTACGTTGATGACATGCTCGTTGCAGGCTCAGACATGCAAGAGATTATAAACTTGAAGCAAAAATTGTCAAAGCAGTTTGCTATGAAGGATCTGGGCGCTGCAAAGCAGATTCTTGGGATGAGGATCAAGAGAGACACAAAGTCAGGGACTTTGATATTATCACAGGCTGAGTACATCAACAAAGTACTCTCCAGGTTCAACATGCAAGATGCTAAACCAGTAAGTACACCTTTAGGTGTTCATTTCAGACTCTCCAAAGAACAGTCACCAAAGACGGAGGAAGAACGTGCACACATGGTGAAGGTGCCGTACGCCTCAGCGATTGGAAGTTTGATGTATGCCATGGTTTATACCAGACCAGATATTGCTCAAGCAGTGGGAGCTGTTAGCAGGTACATGAATAATCCGGGCAAGATACACTGGGAAGCAGTCAAATGGATCCTCAGATATCTGCGGGGTACCACAAACAAAGCACTTTGTTTCAAAGGTGGAGATACGATACTGACAGGCTATGTAGATGCTGACTTAGCCGGAAATGTTGACATCAGAAGGAGCACTACAGGGTATGTCTATACTCTAGGAGGAACCGCAGTGAGTTGGGTTTCTCAACTACAGAAGATAGTTGCTCTCTCCACAACTGAAGCAGAATATGTCGCTGTTACGGAAGCTAGCAAGGAGATGGTTTGGCTCCAAAGTTTCTTGGAAGAGTTAGACAAGAAACAAGAAAGCAATGTCTTGTATTGCGACAGTCAAAGTGCTATACATCTAGCAAAGAATCCGTCTTTTCATTCCAGGACAAAGCACATACAATTGCGATATCATTTTATCCGGTCTCTTCTGGAAGATGAGATTTTGAAACTTGAAAAGATCAGTGGAGCTCAAAATCCGGCAGATATGTTGACAAAGACGGTGACTACAGACAAACTGAAGTTGTGTTCAACTTCAGTTGGCATGCTAGAGTAACAAGACTAGAAAAGCTGTTGCATTGATCGAGGTGTGAAGACAGATTAAAATCAGTCTTCAAGTGGGAGATTGTTGAAAGTATTAAAATGGTTTTCAAGTTTGGTAACCAACTTTGAAAAAATGGTTTTCAAAGTTTGGTAAATGTTTCTTTGAAAATGGTTTTCAAAGTTTGATAAATGTTTCTTTGAAAAATAGTTTTTCAAAGTTTGGTAGATGTTTGTTGAAAAATGATAATGGGATAATCACAATTAATCCCTAGGTTTTAGGGTATTTACAAGATTAAGTCCTTAAGTTTCAACTATAAATACCATAGCTCATTTAGCTTCAAAACCATTCCAAAAATCATTTCTTTCTCCAATACTAGAGAGCTTTCTTGTGAGTAGTGAGTGTTTTGTAAACACCTGTAAATTTTCTCTCTTAGTAAAAGATCTGCAGCAGTCTGGAGACGTAAGCACAATTGGCTGAACTCCGTTATCAATTTCAGGTATTATTTTTCCGCTTTTATTTCGTATTCTCACTAATCTGGTAATAGGGAAATTACTTGTACTTGATTTATTTCCTACACTATGACAACATATCGATCTTCCATAGCTAACTTTCATCTTGTCGCTGCCCGTGAACTTGTGGCGCCTTGCCCTTGGATCAAGGTTTGTTATGTTCGACGTCTGACCAACCAGATTGCTCACTCTTTGGCTCATTGGTGTTCTACAACACAATAGTCTATGTATTTTGCCCTATTTTTCTTGTTGATGTGTGTTTTGGTTACTTTTTTTTTTAATTCGGTTCAAATGGTTTCTATATGGAAAAACTGAAATGAATTGGATATTTATTTTTTAAACTGAATCGAAACCGAACCGTAAATTAAAAAATCTGAACCAAACTGAATAGTCCTGTTCGAATCGGTTTTTCAATTTTCTCGATTTCGTTGCTCAGCCCTAACGAATATCATTATATGCTCACTTATTTATTCTTAGTCAGTAATTCTAAGAAATGGATCCAGGAGATATTGAGTCCATTGCTCTAGGATTAATCTGCAGAACTGATAGGCTTTTGGGTTTCGAGTTAGTGATATTTAGGCTCAAATTAGTCCATTTTAAATCCAAAAGAAGTTTAGAAACTCCAAAATTCAACCTTTGAGATAAAATAAACAAATCTCCTCAGCAAGAATAAATGAAATAACCTTAACCCATTGATAGTCAGTGGAAAGGACAAGTCATATTTGGGTTCTTCATTTGCATTATTGGTTTGGAAGAAATGTCCACCTGACTAATCAAATTCCACTATCAGGGACCGATGTGTGTCGTAAAACACAAACTTCAAAATACGTAATGAACGTAGATCCAATTAAAAGAAAACAAAGAGTGATAAAAAATAGTAATATAGTAGAAATATACTCAAACCCTAATTGTAGTTTATTGCACACTCCAATTGATTTTGGTTTTTGGATTTCCAGTTGATATTTGTGATATTGATTATAATATTATGAATATATTTTATATTATAGTCAATTTTAATAATATAAATATTATAACCTAAATTATACATTTTAGACTATATAATTTAATAAAAAAAATTAAACATTAACGAGTTGCATATTTTATTTTTAATAAAAAAAATTATTAATTATGTTAAAAAATCAATTTAATAATTATATATATATATATATATGATCATCAAATTATAAATTTAAAAAATATTAAATTTAATTTATAAATATAAAAATCTTAAATTTATTCCTACTTTTAATCCTGTATTAACTACAATTTAAAATGTATATGAAATAATTTTTTAAATATAATCATCGATATATATTTTATTAATATTTTTAATAATAAAAATATTTGAAATGAAAATAAATAAAATTATCCATTTAAAGGAAATTTGATGGAGCTAATCGGATGATTATCAACACCAAACAAATCTAGGGACCCGACTTCTTAAACAGAAGTGGTAGTCCTTAATTGTAACAAAGAAAGAAAAGGAAGGGCAAAGAGGGGAAATCAATAGTAGAACACGGATATGAGAAATCCATCAAACTAATTAAAACCTAAAAGAGAAACGCTTTATATTGGCTGCTCTTCACTCTTTAGGTTTTTCTCTCAAAACTCCACGGCGCAGATCCGAGGAGTTTGGGAAAACCCTATCTCTGCCCCCCTAAATATCAACCGAAAAAGGCTCCATTAAAACTACCCTCCCCCCCCCCCCCCAACTCTTCAACGAACCCACTTTCCCGCCCATATTACGCTCTTTCCATTTTTCCTCCTTTGCTCTTTCCATCAGCTTCAAGGTTGCTTCCTTTTCCTATTTTTATTCCTTTTTATTTTATTTCATCGGGTGTTATAGTTTTGATTGACTGATTTCCTGCTGTTTGCTGTTTTAGTTTCTTTTCTTGTTGGATACGTTTTCATGTTAATTGTATTTAGCTTTAGTGTTTGGGATCTGGATTTGATATGTTTTACTTGTATATTTCTTGGGGTTTTTTTTAGATTGATTAAATCTTGTTAGATGATTTTGGGTTCCTTTTCCCTTGAAAAATTGGTTACTTTTATTTGTTCTTCGAGATTTGAGAAATTAACAAATTTTAGACTCTTCTGCTAAGTTTGTTCCTGAAAAGAAGAAAGTTGTTGGATATATGGCGGGGAAGACGGAAAAATAGTTCTTATTTTTTTATCTTAGATTCTAAATAGTAGAAATTTTGAAAGGTTTTTGTTATCGGAGCTTCTCTCTATAAAAAGTATTTGCTTTACGTGCTTATTGTGAACAGATCTTAACTATTAACATTGCAAGTTCCAGCTTTGGGTTTGATGTCTTTCAATTAGTTGAGTAAGATGATTGGTGGCAAAGGAAAAACTAAAACATTATGGATTTATGATGCTAAATGCCCGACGATAGTTCAGTTTTAATGCTAATGGTTGGTGTAATTCCGAGGCTGAGTTTAAACATGTGGTATTTTTATCAGAGTTGAAAGGAGTATTTATCAGTGGTGTATCCAGAAATTTAAGAATTGGGTCCAAAGTTTTATTTTTTTAAATAATGATATGTCAAATTTTCTATTTTTTTCCCTTAACACATTAAACTAAATTTAAGCATTTTTCCAAAATAATGAGATGCACTTGGCCCCTATGGGGGCTTAGTTCATCCGCCCTGTTATTTATTGCCACTGTTTGAATGTATTTGAGTTAGACAATGGCTTTAACATTAGTATTATCTAACACTTTCTTAATCCCTTCATACCGACTAAGTTATGCCAATAGTAATAGAGGGTTGTTCATCCATAAAGCTAACTATATATAGAATTTTGGAGAGACAGGCAATATGTATCTGGTGGTAAAGGTTTTGTTCCAAATATCAGATAACCATATGTCTCTTTGTATATCTTCTCCAAATACTAAATCAGAAGATAATGCTTGTACTTCTTTACCAATGGTGTGCGAGTTTGGCTCTTCTGTTACATGTTCTCAATATGGAAGAGAGCTCTGGCCTTTAGCATCGTTCAAAACTTTCAATGTTACTTCTTGGAGATTATATTTTTGGTGGCTGTATACTATGCATCATAGTGATTTTATTTGAATCCTGCCTGCTTAATGATACTTAACAGTAACCTGCTGTATCTTTTGATCTGAAAGCTACGATCTCAATTTGGAGGATCATATAAATTGATTAGATCATTCTTTCTTCCCTCTGCACAGTCATGGCAGGTTTGGCACCGGAAGGATCCCAATTTGACTCTCGCCAATATGATCAGAAAATGACTGAGTTGTAAGTCTTTTGGTTTATAGATTGCATACCATCTACCCTGCGCAATTTTTTTTTAATTTAAATTAAGAGGTATTGCTATCTTGTTTACAACTTAAATTCAAATGGAACAGGCTCCAAACTGATGGAGACGATTTTTTCACAAGTTATGATGAAGTTTATGACAGTTTTGACGCAATGGGACTTCAAGAGAACCTTCTGAGGGGTATCTATGCATATGGTATGTGGTTTGCCACTTTTAGGACCTCTTTCTACAGGTTGTATTTGCTAAATTTATACCGAATTCTTATTCTCTCGTCCAAAATATTTTCCAAGGTTTTGAGAAGCCTTCTGCAATTCAGCAACGTGGTATTGTTCCATTTTGCAAGGGTCTTGATGTTATTCAGCAGGCACAGTCTGGAACTGGGAAGACAGCTACTTTCTGCTCTGGAATTTACAGCAACTTGATTATGGTATCGTCCAATGCCAGGCTCTGGTTTTGGCTCCCACTAGGGAGTTGGCACAACAGATTGAGAAGGTAATGCGGGCACTTGGTGATTATCTTGGTGTTAAGGTCCACGCTTGTGTTGGTGGAACAAGTGTTCGTGAGGATCAGCGCATTCTTCAAGGTGGAGTTCATGTTGTTGTTGGCACTCCCGGTCGTGTCTTTGATATGTTGAAGAGGCAGTCACTTCGCCCAGATTATATTAAGATGTTTGTCCTGGATGAGGCTGATGAAATGCTTTCCCGTGGTTTTAAGGATCAGGTTTGTTATTTCATCTTTTTATACTCGCTTCAAGTGATTTTTGAATTGGAAAGCATTTTTTTTTATATATTTTGTGCTCTGGTAATGACATTTTTATCAGATCTATGATATCTTCCAACTGCTGCCAGCTAAGATTCAGGTTGGAGTATTTTCTGCTACAATGCCACCTGAAGCCCTTGAGATCACCAGGAAGTTCATGAACAAACCAGTGAGAATTTTGGTTAAGCGTGATGAGCTCACCCTTGAGGGTATCAAACAGTTTTATGTGAATGTTGAAAAGGAGGATTGGAAGCTCGAAACTCTTTGTGATCTCTATGAGACCCTTGCCATCACCCAGAGTGTCATCTTTGTGAACACAAGACGCAAGGTTGACTGGCTGACCGACAAGATGCGTAGCCGTGACCACACAGTTTCTGCAACACATGGAGATATGGACCAAAATACTCGTGATATCATCATGCGAGAATTCCGCTCTGGTTCTTCTCGTGTTCTCATCACTACTGATCTCCTTGCTCGTGGTATTGATGTGCAGCAAGTATCCCTTGTTATAAACTACGATCTGCCGACCCAACCAGAAAACTACCTCCACCGTATTGGAAGAAGTGGAAGGTTTGGAAGAAAAGGTGTGGCCATTAACTTTGTTACGAACGATGACGAAAGAATGCTGTATGACATCCAGAAGTTCTACAATGTGATAATCGAGGAGCTGCCATCAAACGTTGCTGATCTCCTTTGATAAGGTTACTTTTTGAACCATTGTTCGAGGCAGAGCGTTTTGTTGTTTTTGAAAAGTCGTATTTAGCGTGCACTCTTGTTTCTTTGTTTTGGTTTCTAGCGTCTTAAGTTAATGTTGTTCCTGAACATATTTGACCATTTTAATGATATGCTCATTTGGCTACATAATGAATTGATTGCAGTGGGTTTTATGTTGTGATGCAGCCAGCCAGCCGAGGCTTTTGGATATATTTTTGATATTTTCATTCATTCACGGCTGATTGTCACTTTGAGTATGTTTTGATATAGATTGGTTGACCCTCTTCACTTCCACCTAATATTATTTCAATCGGTGTGAAGACTATTAAATAACGGGACAATGGCCTCAATACTAAACTAATTGGGTTCCATTTTCATGGAGTCGGTGATTACCTTGATTTCAGTAATGTATAAACCCAATCTTGCAAAGGAAACTGATGATTCATATGGTGAATGTGCTTGATTGGAAATAGACTTAGAGTAGGAAAGAGAATTTAATGGCGTTATTACTTTAAAATCCCCAAAGTTAATTTTTAAAAGCCCTAAGTTAATTTGTTAGAAAAATATCCTTTGTACACGTAGGATTAGTTTGCATCCTAAAAAAAGCGAGAAAAGGTTTTGCGTTATACGGGCGCGAGTTTCCTCTAACGTGAATGTAATTTTTAGAGACTAAAGTGCTTATAGGCTTATTTGGGGGTATTTTATTGTAAAATTTTCGTAATTTATAAGATCAGAGGCGTAATATTAGAATTTATCTTTCAATTGAGGTTATATGAGACACATGCGAGACATCGTAATTTTTCAAGTTTTTAGGTTTTTTCGGGTAGTTAATATGAAAATTTTTATAATTTATAAAATTAGAGGCGTAGTATTGTAACTTATCTTTCAATTCATGGTAATGTCGGCACATACAAGACATTGTAAGCGGGGTAAAAGTCGCGTTCAAAATGGTTCCAAAGCTTGATTTTTTATATGAAGAAGAAGCTAACATGGCTTGATAAACATGTTCGGGGTGAGATAAAAATCATATTATTGAATGATAACTTAAACAAATTAATAACTCAAACTTAATTAATAATTTAAATAAATTTTAACATTATATTCGATTCAATGATATATTTAAAACATAAAAATGTCTTCGTTTAAAACAAATTAATCGATACGAGGGCGTGCGTGATCGATTAAGACATTTATTCTTTGTGCGTCCAGGATTCCTACTAATGCATCATAGCTTCAGTTGTCTGGTTCTTTGTCGATGTTAGATCAAATCTTCGCCATAGTAAATCCTTGTTGACCGTATATGACCCTTTTTTTTGTGTCGTAATGCAAAATTTGGTCGTATTGTAGGTTCATCATCAACTTCATCCAGATCCATTTCATTTCCAATGGGAGGGAACTCATATTGAAACACATTGAATACAGTTTCAAGTATACCAAATCAATGAATTGTATGTAGTCAATCCGTACAGAAGAATAAGCAACAATGACGTGCAGACATAGTTATTTGAATGTTTGAAATACTCCATAGTCGTAGGTTTTCTCATGTAGATTAACGACGTATGTGTTGTGTTGTATGTATTCCAATGGCCTCAAATATTTTGAAACACAATTTATTTTGTTCACAAAAGACGTGTGTCACATTCATCGAATTTGAGTGTTGTAGAAAGGTTTGCAATTTTGTGTGAAGGTCTGGGTGGATTGTGTCCCCACCTGCAATCCAGTCAACTGCTTGTTTTCCCATGGTTGCAAACAGTGTTTCCAACTGATAATATGTCACTTTGATAATGGAAATGATAGGCAAATTTCGTACTCCCTTCAATGATGAATTGATCGCCTCAACCAAGTTCGCTGTCATTTGATCATATTGTCTACCCTTATCAAATGATCAAAGTCATTTCTCCATCGAGATTTTAGCAAGGTAGTTGTAACCTTCTTAGTTTTTGTGTCTCAATTCTTGAAACAACTTCTTAACATTGCGCACTGTAACACCCTCATACCGATACGAGTGACCCAATCTGATCCGTAGTGTCACATTAGGGCCACCGGAGTGACTCATAGTAAAAATCGAGGAGAAATTAAATTTTTTGTTAAAACATGTAAAATTATAAAATAATTTATAAATAAAATACAAGTTCAGAAAATTATTCATATATTACAAACATAATTAAAATCATACAAGTTTCAGACTCAATATAAAAATCAAATATGATCTACATTCCCCTAATTATGCTTGTACCGTACTCTGCAAGCCAAGATGAATGAACTCCCATTACTGAAGTCGATAGTTGTACTGGATCGATTCTTTTAACCTGAAATGATGAGTAAAAGAGTGAGCTTTAGGGAGCTCAGTAATATAGAACTACCAGGTGATGCTGAAGGACATGCAAATAAATGACAAGCATAAAACATTTTCTCATTGATTCAAGCATCTACAGATTTTCGTGATGAGCTGAGGTTCCACTTATATTTCTTTAGGTAACAGACAAGTAGTTTATAGCTCAGAGGAAACATTCAGAATACCATGTTCATAGATTGAAACAAACGTCTAGTGTGTTCTTTCAAAACCATAATAAAATGTAATCATAATTTAAAAATAGTGTTGTTTCAGTAAAAAAAGGTTTTTAAAATCACTATAGTACCCTTTATTTGAATACTCCATGTGAAATTCCCAGAACATCATCCATAAAGACTTACCCTAAACCTCTAAGATCTGGGAGTTCAATATGAATGATTAGAACAAAAAGGATTTACCAGCTAGCTGAACCTCAGAGACTCCAAAATCCTACTCAATCAATACCCCAATAAAACAGTTTCAAATAGAACCAGTAATATCAGAAAACAGAAATCATAAATTGGGTTTTTATTTAAAATACATAGTTTCCCTCCAACCGTACACCAAATGCAGTACCCCAGAACAGGCATCCATAACGACTTACCCTAGACCTCTAGGATCTAGGAGTCCAATATGAATCGTCAGAACAAAAACGATTTACCAGCTAGCTGAACCTCAGAGTCTATAGACACCTACCCAGACAATATCCCAATAAAACATATCAGATATCAAACATTGATATCAGAAATCAAGAGCTAATTGTACCTTGTATCAGAAATCAGAAACCAGATATCAGAAATCGTACTTTATAAAAATCAGAGAAAACATTTTTGTCAATACGGAACACACTAGAGGTTCCATATATTTTTT